TTTTTTGTCTTCACTGTAAAGCAGGCACCCGGGGGGCTGCTGTCCTAACCACGTGCAAGCGCACAGCCCAGGGCGTCAGGCGCGTTCGCGCTGTGCAGCGACACCCCGGTCCCCTCTGTCTACACCCTCCCGGCGCCCGCTCTGCAGCGACACCCCCGTCCCCTCTGTCTACACCCTCCCGGCGCCCGCTGTCCCCGTCACTTTTTGTCTTCACTGTAAAGCAGGCACCCGGGGGGCTGCTGTCCTAACCACGTGCAAGCGCACAGCCCAGGGCGTCAGGCGCGTTCGCGCTGTGCAGCGACACCCCGGTCCCCTCTGTCTACACCCTCCCGGCGCCCGCTCTGCAGCGACACCCCCGTCCCCTCTGTCTACACCCTCCCGGCGCCCGCTGTCCCCGTCACTCGCTCGCTCCGCGTTTCCCGCGTGCGCCCTGGCTCCCGCCATCCGTTTCTATGCGGTTGACTCGAGGGACCGCGTGTAATGGAATCGTCTAGTCCTTGTTCTTTGGGGACCAGCTTCCCTCACCCAGCATCATGTCCTCAAGATTCATCCTGATGTAGCAGGAGCCGAATTCCCTTCCTTTTTAAGACCGAACACGGTCCCGCTGTGGGGAGAGCCCACATCTTGCTTTCCACTCATCTGCCCGCGGACACAGGTTGTTCCCACCTCCTGGCCGTTGTGATGCTGCTGTGGGCATGGGTGGGCCGATCTCTCCTCCAGTCCCTGCTCTCAGTTCTCTGGGGTCGGACGCCCATAGGGAAGTTCCTGGGTCATCTTTGCAGGTGTTCAGGTTGGGAAGTGACATGATCTGAGTTACATTTTAAAGAATCACTCCGGCCCCGCTGGCGTGGCTCAGTGGTTGAGCATCAACCTACGAACCAGGAGGTCACGATTCGATTCCCGGTCAGGGCACATGCCCAGGTTGGGGGCTCCATTCCCAGCCAGTCAATGATTCTCTCATCATTGATGTTTCTCTCTCCCCATCTCTTCCTCTCTGAAGTGTACACACACACACACACACACACACACGTTTTTTTTAAGTAAGAAGCCCCCAAAGCCACAGCAGTCATTAGGAGAAATTTAAATTACCCTTAAAAAAGGTACATTATAGTTTATTGTGATCCTAATGCAGTCTAAGGTGACAAGTGAAATCATTCTTAGTATTTTTGAGAGGTTGCTGTTTCTCCATCATTTTAGGGCATGTTGATCACATGATCTGGAGTCAGATTCGTTCCGCCCCGGCCGTTTCTGTCTCACCCGGGGCAGGTGGCACTACCCCGTGCTGGTGTAGCCCGGCCGTGCTGGTGCAGCCTCTCTGGACCCTCCTCACTTCCCCAGGGAGGCCAGGTAGGCATACCAGAACAGAGCCACCAGGTTAGCAAAAAGCACCCGGAACTGCCAGAGAGAACACAGGCCCCAGTGAGCGCAAGGCCCTGACAACACCCACCAGGCACCAGTCCCCTCGCCGAGTTCCTTCACTGGCGGGTCCGGCCAGCACTGTTGCACTTACAGGTCTTTACTTTGTACGGAGCACTGGGCGAGACCCCCAGCAGAGAGCAATGGAGAAGACAGAGTTCCTGCCTCACTAGTTACACAGGCCAGCAGGGAAAACACTCAGTAACTGTCCCTCACCCTCCTTCATGAACATCAACTTCAGGTCCTGGCTCAACCCCAGGACTGGCCCTCACACGGTGCCTTCATCCAGTCCTGACACCCTCCTGACCAGCTCTTCACTCTAGGCTGTCACTGCCCATTGCCCTGCTCAGTGATCTCACAAGCAAACCCCACCTGAACTCGTCAGTGAGTCTATCCGGCAGGTAAGCTCCATGGACGAAAGTCTGGTCCATCTTGTTAACCACTGTATCCCAAGTCTAGAGCAGACGGGCAGATACCACTGCCCCTTAAGCATCGCCTGCAACCACCTGAAATGGAACTTTAGCCACCGCATTCTGTCCCTACTACTTTCAAAGACTCCGTTTTCCAGCCTGCCCGCTGACAGCCACAGACCATGTCCTCAGCCATCCTGTCCTCTTTGTGGAGTGCATGGTGTCCTTACCTACCTGTTCCCTGAGTTCACTCTTGGGAAAAACCTCGACCCTCCCTGCCTCTCACCTCTCTGAGCCCCAGGCCCGTGCACATGCAGGTCTTCAGCCTCTGCAGCCCCCGTCGTCTGCATGCTCATGTTCTCAAGTTTACCCCTTTACCCCTCTTCAGTCTGCCCTACCCACCCCCGGCCCTCCCAGAGGAAAGAAGGTGTGGACAGAGGTCCCCAGTAACAGTCACCCGAGAAAAAGAAGATTGTGGCAAGGGGGGAAAGGCTGATGGGAAAGGGCCTCTGGTGAGGCTGGCGCCCTGGGGCCCTGGGCGGTGAGACAGCCTCACCTGTATGGGGACATAGTTGACGTTAATGAACTGCACTGGGGTCCAGACGCGCCAGTTCATCTGCAGCGCCGGCCAGAATGCGCTCCTCACCTTGGCAGCGCCAGCGGCGGCATCTCTGCCCTGAAAAGGAAACACGGGGTGAGTGAGCCCCACTGCCTCAGGCTGAGATTGGGGCACTGGGGTCTGGGGACCCCCAAACCCTAACGCAGTGGGGTTTTTTCACTGTAGACTTTGTTCCGTGTACACATGGGCAGCACATACGGGTGGGTAATGAGCGGTGCAGCTGTAGGCAGCTCACCATCCACTTGGAAAACCACCAGAGCAGTGAGCACTGCTCACACGGTGGGGACCCGTGTCCTCGCCCTCGCACTGGCTGGCCTGGTGTGGCGGGGTTGGTGCGAGGCCAGAATGACGTGAAATGGAGGCACAGTTGGGGCAAGGCCAGTGCTCAGTAAGTGCAGCTGGTGCTGTGGTCCTGCGTCGCTGCCGGGAGGGCCAACGAGGATGGCCTTCCAGCCGACAGTTCTAGGAGTTGACCAGCCAGGAACCCACACCAAAGGGACAGCCTGCGGTGGAACCTGCGACAGGGTGTCTGGTGAAACACGCTGGCGGCGGCGGCGGCGGCTGGAGTGTGTGATTGTGTGAGCTCATGGTCCGCTGTGCTCCTGCATAGTCCCTTTCGGGACTTTATGCACTTTGATAACACTTTACTTTTTAATGAAAATATACTCCCTTTGTATTTGGAAGGAAATAAAAAGAGCAACAGCCGTTGTAGCCTCGCTTCTAATGTGGGCACCCTTTGCTTCCTCCTGGCTCAGATGTCCTAAGGACTTCCCAAACATTTCTTTTCAAACTATCAGGGAATTACTAGCAATCACAGCTAAGTCTCAACATCTTTCCTACTTATCCCTAGGGTCACTGTACACAACAAAGGTAATTCTCCGTAGTAACAAAAACTGGAGATGTTGTTTCAAAATAAAACCTCAGTGAGGAGCCTTTACCTGCTGTGATCGGTTGAAACATGTCAAGGCAGACCATGGCACATGTTGGGCACAGAGCAGACTGGCAGAGCGCAGGTGGAGGGGTTGAAGGGCCCGTTAGCGCGGACCTGACCTGCGTGGTGGGCAGTCGGCCTCCTCAGGGCACCCAGGCTCTCGGGTACCGAGTTAGCTCAGGCTTCTGCAACATCACTGAGGCCTGAAACTCCTGGGCCCCGGCCTCCTCCGCAGTCTGCGTGACTCCTTTTCAGAATCATGTCTGATGACGTACAAAACGTACAGGACTACTGCGGGAACAGCCACACTGAATACAGCTACCCAAGTATTTGGGATCATTCTGTGACGGGCTAGAGGACGTGCTTTATTAACACCTTCAGGGACCAGACCTGACCGCAGGTGCAAGGAGTGGGGCGCACAACCCACGCTCGGGGACATCCGACTGGTTTCCGCTCGCACCCACAGGCACTGCCAACACGGCTGTGCTCTGCTCCCGACGTGGATCAAGGCAACTGTGAACCTTCAATGTGAGAGTCGGAGAAGTTCGCAGACCCCGAGTTCCACCCGGTGCCAGGCTCAGAACCCTTGCCCACTGGGGAGCGGCAGCAGAGACCAACCTCCAGGAAGCTCATGACGAGGAAGAACAGCAGCAGGAAGGCGGGCGCGAAGAGCAGGCGGTCCAGGAGCAGCCTCTTGAGCCCTGCCCAGGGCGCCTCGGGGGGGATCCAGTGCTCCATGAAGAGGTAGAAGAAGTGGCTCAGCGGCCCGGTGAAGAAGAACCTGAGGCCACAGGTGGGGGGGGGGGAGCTGGACCACCTCTCAGGGCTAGGCTCACCCCCAAACGCCAGGTCCCAAACCCTGCCTCTCTCGGCACTGACCACACAGACCCATGGTCCTGGAAAGTGCGCTTTCTTTGGATCTGCTTCTGGCGTTCCTGTTTGCTTCCAACAGGCCAGACTTGTTCCTGCCTTGGGTTCCTGCCACCTTCACGTGGCCGGCTCCTTCTCAACACTTGGCTTGGAGAGTTCTTTCCTGGTGGCTCTAGATAACAAGCCCCCTGCTGTCCTTGCCACCCTCTCTTCCAGGCCCAGGTGGCTTTCTTCATAGCATTTATCACATGCCCTGACCTCATTTGTTTAGTTGTATGGTGCCCTCTCTCTGCCCCAGGAAGTAAAACCGTCACAGGGCAGGACCGTGTCTGTTCACTGCTGTGTCTGCAGCGCCTCGGGCAGGGCCTGAGTCAGAGGTGCTCAGCAATAAATAAATGCACCCCCAATCCCACCCCTGGAGTTTTTCCATCAAATCCTTCAGGTAATCAGCCAGGGTGAACCCTGGGGCTGTGCACCTGTTGCCTGCGTTGCTGCTACTCTTTCCAGCGTGTGCAGAGAACTGGGACCCGCCACAGCATCTGGGACAACAGACCTGCTGCTCGTAAAATTCAGTAATAGAAAGAGGGGCAGGGCCTCGGGGACCTTCCAACTTCTGACACTGAAAGCCTTTAAGCAAGTGGTTCTCAGTTGTCTGTTCTCACCCTGAGGACCCGTGGCCTGGAGCAGGGGTTCTCGGTGGGAGAACAGAGCCTTGAGGATGGAAAACTGGTTGGTGAGGCCTTCAGGGGGTTCTGGTACACTCTCCCCTCCCTGGGGTGGGGATCACAGCTTTAAATACGTATGGAAAAAAGCTGTGGTGAGTAAAGTTAACTACCTACAAAAATGGTATTTGTGAATTTTGAATTGGAAAAAAAAATCATTTGTTACAAAAGGCTTCAAAGCCATCTGTCTGTACAAACACTACTTTTGGCCAGAGAACCCAGGGTGGGTTTAATTGGTAAAACTCCTGAATCTCTGAGCTTCTGCAATTCAATAAGTGGTTCAGAAACTGGACATTTTTCAGGTCACCTGAATGCTTCTCTGCATGCTTATGCTATGAAAATAACTAACTGGCCGTACATGAGTCTGGTTTCCACTTTCATGGTCTTTGAGTCTTGAGGTTGGCCTCTAGGTTCAGGGAAGTTACCTGCTCTTCCTGTTCTCAGCTCAGTGAAGAGGCCACTCCCACCCATGAAATTAAAAGTAACCATATCAAACTAGAAAGTAAGTTAACCTTATCCCCTGTTCTGATTTCCCCCATGATTACTTCATTGCTTTTTAAAATTATTTTTCCAAATTAGATCATTCCAGAAACTGGATACCTTCGCTTGGCTCCGCGGTGGGACTCACCCGTAAATGGCATATCTGAGGGGCCCACCGACATCTAGCTTTTGAGAGCAGTTTTCTTTTTTCCGCTTCTTAATCATCTGGGCCAGGAAGTTCCCAAATGCTGACAAAATGCCACTGTGGACAGACAGGGAGTGAGAAAACGGGAGGACCAGCAGGAGGGCTGTTGTGAGGCCAGGCTGGGGATGGGTGGGGACCAGTTCTCATCAAAGCAGCTGCCATGCAAGGTGCCCGTGTCGAAGGGCAGAGGCAGCAGCAAGATCTCCACTTGGCGGGTGCGCCAGTGTCGGTATCCTGCTGGTGACACCATAACTGCAAAGGTGACCGTGTGTGGGAGGTGGGTGACGGGAGGGATCTTCATGATGGAAGGTCTCTGTACTTGGACTCCGTTGGTGGATAAAGTCTGTACATGTGACAAAGCTCTGGAACTAAACACACACTTGGCAGGTACCAGAAAGGCTGGGGGAGCCTGAGTCTGACCTGGGGACTGTGCCCACGCCAGTGTTCTGGCTGTGAGGGTGTATTCTGCAGATGTTAGCGACGGGGGGACTGGGCAAGTGCACCGGGATCTCTGTGTTGTTCCTCGTAACTGCATGTGAGTCTACGGTTATCACAATAAAAATGTCCCTGAAAAAAGAGGCCCGGTGGCTCCAAAGCTTGGTCTATCGCTGACTTTTGAGAAGCTCTGAGCCGAAATACCCGAAGGTCTCACGGTGGGCGGTGAGACCTGGATCTGACCCCTGGCTGCTCCTCGCTCATCCTCTCCCTGCTCACGGGCAGGTGTCCAGCCACACAGACTCCGACTCCCGAGCTTGCTCCTCCCTCAGGACCTTCGCTCTGCTGTGCCCGCTGCCAAAGCGCAGTTGCTTCCCTTCTGCCCCGCACCCCTTCATTCCGGCCTCTGTTCAAATGTCCCCTTGGATAAGTTCCCCGTTTTGTGTATTTATCTGCTTTTTGTCTAGTTCTTCGCTAAAATGCAACCTCCATGAGGGCCAGGGCCCTACCCACCTGTCTAATGCCCGCACACAGGAAGCACGCTGTGCACATTTAGGAAAGGCTGGGCCAATAAAAGGGAACAGGCTTGTAAAATTAGTTCAACGAGGGCAGTGGCCGGGGAGTCGTCTCATAAAAAGTTTAAGGGCCGCACTGCCCGTTAAAGCACGGAGCTCGGCCAGGACCAACCTGACCACCTCGCCCTCTAACTGACAGGCGAGGGCCCTCCCCACGGGTCCCTCCGCCCCGGGGCCGGTCTGCGGGACCCCAGCCGTGGTGCTTCCGCTACCCGGCTCCCGGGCGCCCAGCGTCAGTGCCTACGAGTCCCTGTTGCGAGCCGATTGCACCGAACCGCAGGTGCCGAGCTTCCCGTGGGTTCCCGGCCTTTGGGAGCTCGTACACTCGGGGTTTCTCCTTCCTCACTCAGCCCCCGGGAGGCGC